ACCAACACAGCAGGTTATACGATCGCTCATTAATCTGCTCCAAAAGAAATACCACCCATCAGTAATGTCTATAATCTCACATAACACAGCTATTTGTAAACCGAACATCTCTTTGTGGCCTGAGATTAATTTGCACTGGGCAAGTCCCCCGCAAATCAAATATGCTACTGAGGTGCTCAAATCTTTATCAGCTGCCATCAGCTAAAAGACAATTATGCCTGTCACTGACCAAAAGTCTGAAGACAACCCATCCTCATATCTGATTTTCCAATAATGAGTAAATACATTAGCTACAGAAGGGAAAAGCATAGAGACTCCAATTTTCTAGGTCTTGGCTGAATTCACACAAAAGCAGTTAACCCAGATTTAGCAGAATTTAGCAACACAAATTGTTTCAGAGCATCAGCACATAAGTCACCCCTCAAAACAGAACGTGAAAACTAAGACCACTTCCTTCCCTGCAGATTCTGTTTCAAGGCACCTTCTCTGCCTTAGAGCTACAGATTTTCACTTGCATAACTGGATATGTGAAAAGGTAAAGCAAAAACACCCTTAGATAACATAAAAAATAATGAGAACTTAAAGCTTCCACAACTAATACAGTTATATCTTTACTGACCCCATTTCTTGGCAAATATTTTTGCACATATTGTTACACTATAGCTTCAGTATGCATTAAGCTTTTTTACCAGGAGGCATTTCCTTTGCACCATGCCTTTTAATCCTCTGTGGGAAACGAATAATGCAACCATTAGCTATACAAAAGATTTCAGATCTCTGTTACAGATAAATTTTCCTTCTTTCAAGTACTTATTAATATGCAGTTTCATGCTGCAGACAACTCCAACTCCACAGAAATGTCCTTACCAAAAGCAGTATCAAGTCAGGAAACGTCTAAAATACTTTTTGTAAAAGCAAACAATAACCAGTCTCGCATAATCACCTTTGATGATTATATCCTGGTTTAACTCTACTTGATAATCAGCTGAGGATTCTGAACAAGCTGGGAGGTATTTAGACTGCATGCATGAGGAGATGCAGCTTTCCTATTTTTAGTTGCTGCTAATGGAGAGACAGATATAAAGGTATGAAAAACTCAGGTATCAAGAAAGAAGACGTAAGGAACAAGAACTAGACAGCAGTAAAAAAGCCAGCTATCAAAGGTGAATGATGACACCACTAAGACTTCAGGCAAGTCCTTGCAAATAACATATCCAGGAAAAGAGTTGCAACTGAAAGATGAGAGACAGTTCACATAACTTCACAGAATTCCTCAGAAATTCCTTACAGAATTGGAAGAACAAATACCTTTCCACAGATTGAATGAGCAATTCCCTCCAAGACAGATATCTGAAAGCTGGTAAAAAATCCATCTCTGAAGCTAAGTTCATTAAGGCCCACACTCACGCTTGGAAGAGGGCCAGAGCACAGCTGGAGAGGGTAAAATAGAATCAGATTAAACTTCATTAAAAGGAACTCTCAGGTGTACCAAGAGACATCATCCAGATGTAAAATTAAGGTATAGACAGACTCATCATAAACATACTTCCTAGGCAAGCAGAAAATTCTCACGGGGAAAGTACAGGAAATCCCACAACTGGTAACACCAGAAGTTAGTCAGGAAAAGGTCTTGGTGAGGCTACATCTGGTTGTAAAGCAGTATTTATGCTTTATCTGTCTTAGACGTTTAACAAATCTGATGACTCAAAAACTATTTTTGGAGGGGGTGGGAAGGTGGGAGTGTTTTCCATAGGGGTTGTTTTGTTGGTTTTTCGTGGTGTGAGTCTTCTATTTAGGGCTTGGTTTTTTGTTTGTTTCATGGTTAAGGGGGTATTTGTTTGGGGTTTTGGGGGTGGGGTTTTTGGTTGTGGTGTTTTTTGGCTTTTTTTTTAAAAACAGATCAACAACTCAAACTTGACAACGAAGTATGTCATACACAGAGAGGGTCTCTGGATCTAGAGAAAATCCTTGTTATACCTTCTTTTGGAACACTAGAGGATTATATTTCAAGTGCCATGGCAAATACTTAATGAAGTTCAAGGCATTCCTCCATGATTGAGCCTAGTAACTTCCTACCCTAATTTGGAGGCTAACAAGAGCCCAATTACACCACTTTTGGGACCCTTCTCTTAGGACCAAGAGAGCTATTCAGTCTGCTAGGTCCAAAAGAAACACGTCTAAAATTTTGTAGTTTCTGATGAAGCCTTCTCCAGCATAACTCGATACTAATAGCCTTTGCTATTGACCAGCTGAGCCAACAGCAGCCTCATGTCTGCATGTCTTGCTTGGTTTACAGTGAGGGAGAATGTGATTTGTAGCAAGTAAAAAGTCAGTAACTACCAAAATAACATCAATATGAAGAGAGGTCCAGTGACTTTAATACTCAAATTCCATAGAACACAAGTGCTCAGTGGGGTACTTTCGGTAAGCAGAACTGGTGCTGTCACCGAAAGCAGTCCTTTATGGCAACAGCACTACAGGATGAATCAAACATTACATTAGGGCACCCAACACCACAGTTTGTCACATACAAAAGGTATTGGCTGTGAAAATTTACCATACTTGATAAGAGGAGGCAGGACAGAAATCTAGATGTGAAGAAGCAAGCAGAAGGCTGCAGGTCAGAAAGATGAAGGTGAGGTCCATAGAGTTGTTCCATAATGGCAACTGAAACTGATCAATTCTGCATGGACTGATGAGACAGGCACCACAGAGGAAATCAGCCCAAACTATTGTTACAGAAGTGTCCTGTTAGAGCTAAACAGAACCAATACTGTTCAGTGATCTTACTTCTCAGCTCAGTCTCTTCTAAGAGACCGCACTTTCTGAAGTTAACAGCATACTTTTCCAGACAGTGTCTGCTACTAGAAGTGATAACGCTTGATGCTTATAGTTACTACCAGGGATTAAGAGGCAGAAAGGCTCTTGCCTATACTTGCTCCTTTGGTGCCAAGGTCATTGCTGGATCTTGTGTGCCACACTCTGGGTGCTGGGAAGAGTCACAAGGAAGTAGAATGTTGCACCTCCAGGGAGGAACAAACACAACAGCCAACAAACAAGAATTATTCCATTCCATTTACATTCAGTACAAAGCTAAGGTATCACAGGTGTTCAGTGTCTCTTTGCCTAATGGCCGGCATCCATTCTGCTGCCTTTGATCCCAATCCCAAGTTCCCGAAATCTAGCTTCTGTACCTGGTTCCCCTCTGCCACTGAGCCTGAGGCTTCTCCAATGCCTGCTGGCTTTGCAGCATCAGCGGGGATCACTACTCATGCAGCAGCTGGGTTTGATAATGGTTTCTGCATATACTCGTACATATTTCATTATCTTCATTATTTCTATTTTATTACAGCTGAGTTTTCTTCTCCTACCCGTAAATGTCTCTGCCTCACTCGCTTTCCCTTCCTCTTTAGGGAGAGAGGAGTTACAGAGCATCTGTCAGCATTTAGTGGCTGGCTCAGCCCTAACCCTTGTCAAGAAGAAATGTAAACAAAATAAAAATATATTTTTTAAAAAATATAAAGCGTAAAGTTATTAGAACTTGTAAGAAACTTTAAAAAAAAAAAAAAATCACTGCCAGAACACTGAGTCCCTAAGAAATGTAATGACTTGTACGGGCACCAGCAAATTTTTCTGCAAAGCCCTTCTCAGCTTCCCTCAGGATGTTCCTCTGTAGCTTCCAGGCCTCAGGCTCCTGTAGAACCATCTCAGTCTGCACTGTACAGGGAGTCGTTCGTCAGTCCAGCTAAAATCATCTCAGGAGGACAGATGTGACAGCAGGCAACTAGCCTCTAGCAGGATGCCAATGATCCTCCTCCAACTACGGTATGATTCTACTAGCTTCAGCAGAAAGAAATGAGAGGGGTAAAGTTTATACTCCATTCTAATAAGACCAAAGAGAATTAGAAGTTCTGTACACTCTTTAGGATGGTTTCAGATTCATTAAATGACTGTACAGAGCGTGACTTCCTTCTCGGAGAGCTTTCATGAGAACAGCCAGAGACGAAATAAATGGACACACGTTTAAAGATAGTTCTAAAGAAAGGCAGATCAAAGCATACAGTGTGATTATTTTCTCTGAGGATTTTTATTGTCTCCATACACTGTTAACTTAGCCATTACATCTGGACAATACAGTCCTTCCCAATTCCAATGTTCATATTCTTTGAGAATTTTAGATACATGTTCAAACTACCTAGCATATCTTGACTCAGACCCACAGTACTTCAGATAAAGTAACCTGTTAGTTGCAAAATTTAAAAAAGTTGCAAAATTTAAAAATCACTGAAACTGTGGCTTTCCACAATAACAAGCAGCTTCACCAGCTTCTCATAGGTAGTGCGTATGTACCAGGAGTATATATAGCAGTACAATTCACTGCTTTTTGATGTATTTTACAGTCATTTTGAAATAAAGTGACACTTCTCCATTTTACTTATTACACAGTAGACGTCCACTTGGGAGGAAGAAGGGAAATTATGTAAGCCTGTGTAGGCTTCGGTTTCAATCCACACTTAATATTACTGCATTGTAGGTCAGGTGCAAAGGTGTGCACAAACAGGAAGGAAAGTGTTACAGTCAAAAAATCTCAGATTTGCTATTGTCACATCTTCCATAAAACACATCCTTTTAGCACAGGCTGAGGGTTAATTATCTATGAGAGTCTAAAAAGTCAAAATAAGAACAGGCCATATTTAATGCAGCAACAAATAAATTGACTGGGTTACCAGCAGGATGAACATAGAAGATCCATATTACCTTTCAACATCAACAATGAAGTTCTTCTCCAGTTAATAAGTACACGTACAACTTTTATCCTAACAGTTGTCACATAAAGTCAATGGCACTTAAATTATACATCTGCTTAACTGCCTTGCTAGACTTAAATCTGACATATTAAGTAGTATGCTTCAAAAAAACCCAAATCTTAACAGAAATGGCAACATATTTCTGTATTCAAAAGCCTTTAGATACCCAGATCAATACAGTTAAAATATTACCTGGGTCATTATGCGAGTGAGGCACAACAAAAACTTGAAGAGGTTCACTGTCCCATTCATTTTCATTGTATGTGATATCAAATCCTTGCTTCCACACGCCACCATCTGGATTATCAAAAGGAAGAATGTCATAGACATCCAACATCTAAAAGAGAGTAAAAGGAATATAAAACATGAATTCACAAAAACAGTTCTGCTATTAGGAAAAAAAAAAGCTATCATCAAAAAAGTTATCATCAAAAATGAATCAGCTTGTTCTTTATACAGCGAGATGAAATGTCAAATGAATAGAAAACTGACAAATGACAGCAAGCTTCAAGTCACACTAGGATACCCAAGACACTGCTGGCAGGAAGAACAGCATTTGGCACATCCTGTTCTAAGGAAGCTGAAACTGGTTAGATAAACTGTAGGAATAAGAGCATTAAGTCAAAAAAATTATCACAGCTCGCAATGGCATTGGGTCAAGTGGTTAGGGTGAAGATTATACAGAGAAGCACAATACACTAAATAGGGGAATGCAGAAGATGAAGAGGCAAAACTAAGCAAGCAGAACGGATGACAACGTAAGATTGAGGCAAAACTCATCACAAAACAGAACTGAATTAAACTATCACAGAAGATGGTCCAGAATTACAGCCAACTCCTATAATAAAGCTCCTTATACACTTACTGTTGCACAGGAAACTAATTATACAAGGAAAGACATATTTCACTAGTCAGTGCAAATAAGCAGGTTATAGGTAAATAAAGCAAGCCTATAATTACTTCAGCAAGTTCCTATTTCCTATGAAAAGTAGGCATCACCAGATAGCTTCCATAAGAAATTGCTAACATGAGTTTAAACCAAAGGTAACCTATCCAACTTTTTTTTTTTAAGGTAATGATCTGATCTGCTTTTAGGAAAGAAGGTAAACTTTATTAACATGAACTATAATCTGGACATGCCTTTTACTGTCACTATAGTTTAGAGAACTTAAACAACACTTTAGTTCTAATCCCATGTTAGACCATAACTGTACACTTGATAAGCTTTATTGAACAAGTATTCCACTTCCACTAAAATAAGCCTACAGGAGTAGGCTACATAAACCCCACAAAAGTTAAAACTTTCCAGTGGTAAGCTGGTTTCTGTCCTGCCTGGAAACTGGAAAAAATATAGACGATCAAAACAAATTCTGGCTAAAGTTAAGGTGTTCTGGTGATTTACCTTGGCTGGTTGCCAAAGCTCCACCCAGCTGCTCTCTCACTCTTCCTCCTCAAGAGGACAGGGGTAGAAATACTAAAAGTTTATGGGTTGAGGTAAAGACAGAGATCACTTTCCAATTATCATCACAGAAAAAACCAGACCCACCTTGGGGAACATTAAATTAATTTAATGCCAATTAAAATAGAATAGTGAGAAATAAAGACAACATTAAAAAAATCTTCTCCCTCCTGACACTTCTAGACCAGTCCAACTTCACTCCTTTGTTCCCAACTCGTCTACGTCCTCCCACCCCAAGCAGTGCACTGCTACAGGGGCTGTGGTCAGTTCATAACAGTTTCTCTCCATCACTCCCTTCTCTTCACACTTTTTGCCAGCTTCAGCATAGGGTCACTTCCACAAAGTCCTTCAGTAACTACAATCCTTCAGTAACTGCTCCAGCATGGGATACTCTTCACAGGGTACAGTCCTCCAGCAACATCTGCAGTGTGAAACTCCCCATGGGCCATAGTTCCTTCTGCAAACATCTACCTGCTGTGCCATGGAGTCATCCACAGGCTGCAGTGCTCCAGAGTGGTCTCCTCCACCTGCTCCAGTAGCTGAAGCAACCGATCCCCCCTTCTTTCTTCAATGATGTTGCGTTCACAGGAGTTAAGAGATACATGCTCGCCTGCAGGGCTATGATATCATTGGCATCACAGAGACACGGTGGATGACACCTGTGACTGGAGTGTGGGAGTAGAAGGATATCGGCTGTTTAGGAGGTACAGGCAGGGAAGAAGGGGAGGGGGTGTTGCCCTTTATGTTAGTGACAGAGCTCTGTTTGGGGATGGATGAGGAAATGACTGAGACTTTATGGGTCAGGATTATAGAGAAGGCACGGGCAGGTGACATTCTAACGGGCATCTGCTACAGGCCACCTGACCAGCATGACTGATGGGATGAGGCTTTCTATAAACAGAGAGAAGCGGTCTCATGTTTGCAAGCCCTGGTCCTAAATGGGGGACTCCAACCACCCTGATATCTGTTGGAGTGACAACACAGAAAGGCACAAGCAATCCAGGAGGTTTCTGGCATGCATTAGTGACAACTTCCTCCTTCAAGTGGCAGAAGAGCCTATGAGAACAGGTGCTTTATTCAACCTTGTTCTTATCAACAAGGAGGGGCTCATGGGGAGCGGGCAGCTCAAGGGCAGCCTTGGCTGCAGCAACCATGAAATGGTGGAGTTCAGGATCTTAAGGGCAGTGAGAAAGGAAAGAAGTAAGCTCACAACTCTGGATTTCAAGAGAGCTGACTTTGATGGCCTCAGGTGGAATTCCGTGGGATAAAGACCTGGAGGGAAGAGGGGCCCAGGAAAGCTGGTTAATATTCAAGATCACCTCCTTCAAGCCCAAGTTATGCATTCCAACAAAGAGGAAGGCTGTTAAAAACACTAGGTGGCCTGCATGGATGAGGAAGGAGCTCCTGGACACTCTCAAATGCAAAAAAGTAGCCTACAGGGTATGGAAAAGAGGACAGGCAACCTGGGAGGATTACAGAGAAGTTGACCAAGTAGCCAGGGATCAGGTTAGCAAGCTAAAGCCCTCTTGGAATTAAATCTGGCTAGGGATGTCAAGGACAGTAAGAAAGGCTCCTATAGATAAGTCAGTGACAAAAGGAAGAGTAGGGAAAATGCAGGACCACTCTGGAAGGAAATAGGGGAGTTGGCCATGCAGGATACTGAAAAGGCTGAGGTGTTCAATGACTTTTTTTCCCTCAGTCTTCACTGGCAAGTACTCCAGCCACACTGCCGCAGTTGCAGAGAGGACCGGCAGGGATCGGGGTACTGAAGAATCCCCCACTGTGAGTGAAGACCAGGTTCAGAACCATCTAGAGAACCTGAAGGTACACAAGTCCATGGGACCTGACAAGATCCATCTGCAGGTCCTAGAAGAACTGGCAGATGAAGTCACTAAGCCACTTTCCATATATTCGAGAAATCATGGTAGTCTGGAGAGCTTCCCACTGACTGGAAAAGAATAAACATAACCCCCCATCTTGAAAAAAGGGGAAAAAGGAAGTTCAGGGGAATTACAAGCCTGTCAGTCTCAGCTCTGTGCCTGGTAAGATAAT